TTCTTGGCACTTCGTTGATAGTTTTTTGGCCTCGTTAACATAAGTTTTAATTGTTTGTTTATGTACTTATTTTCTTGGTAATGTTTGTAATATTCTGAGACTTTTTAAATAAAAATATTTACTTATTTATGATTTATGCATAGAAGAACTGGGGAATAAGCCAGAGGTGTGTCGGGGTGATAGGACTCATCAGAGGCAGCATGGGGAGCAGAACAGGCAGATTTATTGAAATATTCTGCTGAGGGGAGCAGCGGCTGAGACAGGAGAGGTCTGCTGGGCCATGTGGGTCACCTCCCTGGCTGGGGATTGAACTTGGGATAAAACTCAGTGGTGATAGCCTGACACTTAACCCGTAGGCCACCAGAAAAGCCCCTAATTTTTAGTTTCTTTAGGGTAAAAACTAGTTTGATTTATCCATGTCCTGCCAGGATCAACTACAACATTTAAGGTGTTAAGTACTCAAAAATCATTTGTTGAAGTGAATTTCTAAAGTAAGAGTGAGAAATTGAGCTGGAAGGAAAGTGGAGACCTGAGGTAAAACTTTAGGTATTGGGGTGAGTTGGTAGGAATTTTATGGGGACTACACCTGTGAAAAAAAAGAAACTGTACAAAAATGAACAATGATGTAAAATATATATAAATAAATAAGTTGTTTTATTTAAAAAAAAAAAAACTCTAGGTATAAGAGGTTAGCTCTGAGTCAGAAATGCCTTTGGCAAGAGGGACGTGCTGATTTATAATCCACAAGGTTGCCCTTTGCCTCTGTCATCAAAAGTTTTTCTGCCTACTCAGGAATTCTGAGTTTCCAGAGGTTGTTTGGCCTCCTTCAAGCCAGGAAGATATAACCCCCAAGATGTCAGGTCTGGACTTAGGCTTCCCAGCTACTTTCCATTTGGCACAACCTTTTCTGGGGCACCAGCACTTTCTACTTTAATAATTAAAAGAGCACAATGGGCCATCCCTGGTGGTGCACAGGGTTAAAGCTTCAGCACTGTGAAGCTGGCTGTGGCTGCTTAGGTGTGAGTTCAATCCCAGGCCCAGAGGTGCTCCATATGGCACAGCAGACCTCTCCTGTCTGGCCGGCTGCTCCCCTCAGCAGGGTAATTGGTCAATCTGCCTCTTCTGCAACCCACTCTGTCTCTGGTAAATCCTCTCAAGGCCCCAACCCCCACCTCTGGCCTGTACCCCAGTTCTGTATGCATAAATAAATAAATCTTATTTTTTAAAAGCACAATAATTAAAGGTACACTATCTCATTTACTCTTTGCCACAATCCTACTGCAAAAGGTTTACATCCAAGCTTTTATAGATGCAGGCAGTCTTAGAAAAGCTAAGAAAGTTTCCTCCAATCACACAGTAGGAAGTGAGTGCCAAGATTTAAATCCTATTTAACTCCCAAATTCACATCTTTTTTTTGTTTGTTTTAAAGATTTTAGGGCCCTCTCTGGTGGCACAGTGGCTAAGGACACAGCACTACAAGCCAGCCGCAGCTACTTCAGCATGAGATTCCATTGTTGGCCCCGGAGATGGTCCACATGGCGCGGCAGACCTCTCCCGGCCTGCCCACTGCGCCTCTCAGCAGTGTACTTTATCGATCTACCTGTTCTGCTCCCCATCTGTCTCTGGTGAAGCCTGTCACTGCCTCTGCACCTCTGGTTTGTACCCCAGTTCTGTATGAATAAATAAATAAATCTTTTTTTAAAAAAATTTTTTTTATGCATACAGAACTGGAGTACAGACCAGAGGTGCAATGGGTGAGAGCTTCCACCAGAGACAGGGTAGGGAACAGAACAGGCAGATCAAGTGAAATACACTGCTAAGGAAAGCTATGTCACAAGTCTGTAAGAGGAAAAGCAAAACATGTAGACAAAGTTAGAGATGATCCAAATGAAATGTAACTGGTGGGAGACTAGTAACAGAAGGGCACATTCACCATACCAACCTATGTCTGGCATTTTATAAGGTGCTTGTAACTCTGTTTTACTGTGTGAAAAAGAAGCAACAGGCCACAAATGGAGTTACTCGTAGTAAGCCTAAATCCCTAAACGAAGACTAAATGCCGAACCTAATTGCAGTTTCAACCCTCTCCAGGAATGTCATCTTGACCAGTCAGTCTGCAATCTTGCTGTCAGCATGAATGAGGTAAACTGCCACACAGCCCCCTTCCATTCCTCACAGCTAGGTAGGCTGAAAAAAAAAATCTTTTTTTTTTTTTTTTACTTCCTCCTTCTGCTTTTAAACCTTTCCATTTCCTTAGCTCTTTGGAGCTCCTTTCTATTTCCAGATGGGATGCTGTCTGGTTCAAAAATCCCCCCAAAAAACAATTAGATCTTTAAATGGACTCAGTTGAATTTTTGTTATTTAACAACTGGTTACTCAGTTTTAGGGAGGCCCGGAGCTGATGTGCAAGTGCTTCTGTTTTGTGCCCAGAAAAACCTGGGTTCAGATATTTGACTTTACTCTTACTAAATCCACCACAATGAGGAAATACATTCTGTAAAATGGGGCAATATATATAATGTATAATGGAACTATTAATGCCTACCTGAAGGGTAGCTGCAGGAGTAAATCATATAACGTGTGAATGCACTCACCACAATACTGGCCATATTGTGCATATTTAATAAACATATTTAATAAACAATAAATTGAGGCCCTCCCTGTTGGCGCAATGGGTTAAAGTGCAGCACTATGAAGCTAGCCACAGCTGCTTTGGCACCAGTTCTATCCTGGCCAGGGAGCTGACCCACATGGTGCAGCAGACCTCTCCTGACAGGTGGGCTGCTCCCCTCAGCAGTGTACTTCATCAGTGTTCTGCTCCCCACCCTCTCTCTGATGAATCCCCTCACCGCCCCTGCACTTCTGGCCTGTACCCCAGTTCTGTGTGCATAAATAAATAAATTTTTTAAAAATAAATAATAAATTGCAATACTAAACAAGAGAAATTTGATCATCTATTCAGGGGTGCACACATCCAGTTAAACAATAGAGCCGTGACAAGAACTCAAGTCTGTGATTTCAAAACACCACAATCTTTCATTATACGGCGCCAGCAGGACATTATTTTAGAGGTTTTTTTATTTATGCATACAGAACTGGAGCACAGGCCAGAGGTTGGGGAGGACTTGAGAGTATTCACCAGAGACAGAGTGGGGAGCAGAACAGGCAGAGCCAAAGAAATACACTGCTAAGGGGAGCTGTGGGGGGTCAGGAGAGGTCTGCTGGCCATGGGGTCTCCTCCCTGGCGAGGAATCAAACTCTTGCTGTATCTATCTTCATAGTGCTGTGCTTTAACCCCTTGGGCCAACAGGGAGGTCCCTGGCAGAACATCTTAAAAGTCTCCTTAATCTTAAAATGTTTTGATAAGGTGTTGCCTAACAGTTTTACTAAGAGTACAGACTTTCCAGATTTCTATTTTTTATTAGGAATTTGATACACACAAAAAATGTAAGTCATTAACTACATATCCAGAATTAGCTATTGTTTTATTTTCTCGAAATCTTTTTCTATATATATACATATATTTTAAGATTTATTTATTTGTGCATAGAGACCTAGGTACAGGCCAGAGGCTCAGGGGCGGCGAGAGGCTTCACCAGAAGACAGAGTGGGGAACAGAACAGGCAGATCAATGAAGTACACTGCTGAGGGGAGCAGCGGGCAGGTCAGGAGAGGTCTGCCACGCCATGTGGTCACCTCCGGGGCAGGCTAGAACTCATGCGGAAGTGGCTTTTTAGCTTCTTAGTGCTGTGCTTTAACCCGCTGCACCACCAGGGAGGGCCTTTTTTCTATATTTTTTACAATACTGTTACATTTTTTATATCTTACATCATGAAAATTTTCCCAGTATGAGATACTCTGCAAATAACTAAACTCTTAAGAAATATGTTAAATGTCTACTTATGTGGTTAAATAAAGGTCTAATTTATTTAAGCATGTACTTGTAACTCTGCACAGAATAGAATCTTTACACTTCTGAGTTTTTCTTCAAGATTCCTAGTTAATGACAATGGAGAGGTAAAATGCTCTCAATTCCCCAAGAATATCTGGATCAAAGAGAATGGACCATTCAAATGGACCTTTCAATAAACATTCCCAAACTGCTTTCAAGGTTTTCTGATTCTTCTCACCAGCAGTTTAGGAAAGTGTCTTAATAAAAAAAAAAAAATCCGTTCTTTTGAAAAGTGCAAAATATTGCACTTGTCTCCTATTTCTTTGCTTAGTATTTCCATTTCCATTTCTTCTTTAGTAAGCTACCTGTTCCTCTTCTTTGCTGTATCAGGATAGTAAGTGCTTTATTCTAGAATGTTTTTACAATATAAAAAGGTATTTTTAAAAAAAATCCGGCCAGTGTTAAGCACTAGTCATGGCCCACTAAGGCGATCGCGCCCATGATAGGACTTTCAAGGAGAGCCGGCCGGTTTTATTCCCTATGGCGGAAATAAGGCAGCTACAAATCACTACCGCGGGAATTGCTGCAAAGGCGTTGGCTTTCCCGGCTCGGGCAAGAAGGTCTCGCGGGATTTCAGGCGTCCTTGAGGTCTCCTATTTGACTACAAATCCCAATATGCAACGCGCCTCAAGGCTCAAGAGCCCAAATGAAGGCTCAGGTCCAAGGTCATGTGTCTGTCTGCGTACGGCGTCCGGTCATCTCTCCCACGCCTTTTTCGGCCGCTTCCACCTTGGTCGCCATTTTGTGAGGGAGGTTATGGAACCTCCGAGTCCCACCAACTCTATGGTCGAGCGTCTCAGGAACCGACCAATCGAAAGCCAAATGTCGGCGGCAAACCCCGCCTTTCCCCGCATGGAGGCGGGATCATCCACGAAGAGCCAGTGAGGAGAGAGGAAGAAACTACAGAGAACCAATAAGAAAGGAGGAATAGAAGACGTCAACCAATAGGAATGCGGGGACATTGCGGCCAATGAGAGTGGGGGGACCTCGGGACACGTGGGTGGGAGAGCTGCGCGCCTAGACCTAGAGCTAAAGCTGGGAGGTGAGTCAGTCACCTTGAGCGGGGCGAGCTGTCGTCTAAGCAGGGGCAGCTGGGCAGTGGGAGTGCAGGTGACTCGGGGCCGGCGGCGAGCGATCGGCCGAGGTATGGGCTGGGCTGCGTAGAGGGGTCTTAGTTCCTAGCGCCGGGGCAGACTGGACGCTCGTAGCCCTAATAATGCTCACTACCAACGGTAATGCGGAATGGAAGGCTCGGGCTGTGGCGGGCCCTGGACAGCTGTTGAGATGGGCAGCTCCCTGCCGCACCTTGCCCAATATCTGCCTCCAGTGCTCCCGGGGGACCGTCCTCCAGCAACATTTCCCCCCCTGGGACTCGGGCCTCTTGCTCTATTTCCGATCCCCGTGACCTTCCTTCGCAGCCCAGTCGCGTTCAGAGTGGTGGACTGTGGAGTTCGCTCTCTTCCTCTGACCTCTAATGCCCTCCTCAGCTGGGGCACTGTGCGAGGAAGAGCGTGGTCCGGGGAGGACGGGCGGGTGAAGGGGACGCTCGAAGGTCGCCACTATAAGCAGTGACCAGGTTGTCGACGGATATTTTTTTCCTCTGCAGACTGAAAAAATGCAGACCACCGGGGCGCTGCTCCTTTCTCCGGCTTTGGTAAGCTGCCGCCCTGGGGTGATCTGTAGTGCTGGAGGTGGAGGCCTTCAATATTTAATGAATGAGCTGAAAGGAGCTTGGCGTGCTGCTGATGTTGGCTCTCCGGAGGAGGCCGCAGGATGTGATGCAGTCGGTCCCCGTTTATTTCGGCCTGTAAACCAAGCTATCTTTGGCTTTGGAATGTCCTCGGAATATGGGACCGCCTGACCTTTACCCTCGGTCTGACTTGGCCACAATCGGACATCCCAGTAAAGCAGTGATTCTCAATCTTGGTTGCACATAGGAGTCATGGAGAGCTCTGAAAAATTCTGATGCCCTGCTGCAGCCCCGGCCAGTTCACCAGACTGGGAAGTGGTGGAACCTCTCTGGTTTTTAAGAACTCCCCAGGTTTTTCTGAAGCTCCACCGAATTTGAGAATCACTGCAGTCTGCTTCTGGAAATATTTTGGGAAATCCATGTTACAGGGGGCTGTGCTCCAGTCCATTCTCCGGGAGCCTCACCAGGCGTCCTGGACCTTGTCCACTCCAGGGATATAGCGCTGTATGTTTTAGCAAAATAAGATTTTTCCGTCTGATTCCTTTGGTTACCTGGGCCAGACCCTTCCTGTACCTGGTTTGAACCCAGAGTGGGTTCTCCTTCCTCTCTGGGATACTGACTAGGGCCATACCCACAGAAGTGAACTTTGGTACCTGGTTTTTAATGGGAAGGTTGCCACTGCTGACCACACCAGGCCTTTGGAACAGCTGTCTTAGGTGCACGTCTATGGTGGAATCAGGAATATAGTAGTTGACCTTGAGCTATATTGAACTTTTTCAGTTTATGATATTTGTAGTCATTTTTGACAGCAGTTAGTTGTGTTGTTCTTGTTTTTTCCTTGTCTGGATTTTTTTTGTGGGGCGAATGAGCTACCTTTCTGATTTCACAGATGCGCTGTTGTACCAGGGGCCTCGTCAGGCCTGTGTCTGCCTCCTTCCTGAACAGGCCAGAGATCCCATCGAAACAGGTAAGGGATTATGGGCCCTCTTAGGAATTTTCCCCAAACAGGGGTCCTTCAAGTTAGACCAAAGTGGAGGACAGTTACAGAACCTGGTGTTTTAATAGTTTCTAGGTACCCCAATGTGAGCTTTGTAGGTGAGAAAGTTGCAAACTTGAGGTTTCCCTAACCCATGAAATTTCCCTAGTCCATTCTGGAAATGAACCCTAAAACTAATCCCCAGCATGCTCTACAGTCCAAGCATTCTGTACTTGCCAGTTTGCCAACAGATTCAGAGCGCAGGTGGGTGGGGTGGGGGTGGAGCCTGCCACCTGTCCTTGTGCCTTACTATCCCCTTGCTCTCGCCCCTCCTCCAGCCTTCCTGCAGCAGCTCCCCGCTCCAGGAGGCCAGACGGGAGTTCCAGACCAGTGTTGTCTCCCGGGACATTGACACAGCAGCCAAATTTATTGGCGCTGGAGCCGCCACAGTTGGTGTGGCTGGGTCAGGGGCTGGCATTGGGACAGTGTTTGGCAGCTTGATTATTGGTTATGCCAGGTAAGTTTAGGGATAACCTACAGTATCTCCCACCGTAAATTCCACCCTATTTGAGACGGCCTCAGCATGAGGCGCTCCCCTTAGGAGCCTATTTTCATTGGTGAGCTCTGAATCCAAATTTGTTTCCAACCTACACTTAGCACTCAGAGTTTCTCATTTAAACTTACCAGATGTGGGTACTCTGCTTGCCTGTCTAAATCCCCAGAGATATGTGGGCTCCTCCCAGTTCCAGCGCTCCCCACTCACCTCACCTACCTCGTCGTCTACCACTGCCCGTGCCCTTATCCCGCCTTTGCCAGAGCTGGCTCCACTCTCTGTCCCTGGCAGGAACCCGTCACTCAAGCAGCAGCTCTTCTCCTATGCCATTCTGGGCTTCGCCCTGTCCGAGGCCATGGGGCTCTTCTGTTTGATGGTCGCCTTCCTCATCCTGTTCGCCATGTGAGGTTCCGAGGGGTGATCTACCCGTCCCTGCTGCTTCGATTCCCGGCCACACCGGTGCTGGAGTGTGCTGAGCTTTACCATTAAACACAACGTTTCTCTAAACCTGTGCCTGTGCCTCTCCTTTGCCCTGGGGGAGGGCCCTGGTGGGAAGGTAGGGCGGGGGATGTGGGACTGGGTCAACTCTTGATGGTTGGGAAGCGACTTGTGGGACTAGGAACGTGGAATGTTCTTTGTATCTCTTGGGGGAGTGTGGATTTGCCTGAGCAGTAGGTGCCTTTTTTTTTCCCCGTCCAAAGCAGAACAACAACTTTGAGGAGCTATTTTGCATCAAGCTCTATGTGGAATGTTTTATGCTTGTTTTCTCAACCTATAAATTAGAAGGACATTCATAAAACCTGATTTGCGAAATGAGGTTGCTGAGGCACAGGAAGCAAAATAACTTGTCCAGCGCCACAGAGCAGTTAAGTGGCAGAATCAGAGCCCCCCTCATACCAACCTAAACCTTTAACTGCCACACTAGCCAGTCCATTTTCATCTTGGCCACACAAGTGAGGGACAGAGGGAAACGTGCCAGAGAAGGGGGACAGCGGTTAGAGGCAGGGATAGGCTTCCTTCAGCCCTCACTTAATTTCACTTTGTAATGCAACTTAGAAGTTTCATTTTCATTCTCCATTGTCCTTTCTTAGACCCCTGAATAAAATGAATGAGGAATGCCGTCCTGGTTCTTGGAAGATTCGCAATCTTAGTTTTACTAGGAATAAAAAAGTTTTTGAGAGTGAATATACTGATGGATTCATTGCTTAGAGCTTCATGCAGTGAGGGAGCAAGTGAGCTTCCTCAGGGTCTCAGTGTCAGGCCCCCTCGCTGGGCGTTAAGTGGGACTCATCACCCAAGAGACAGCTTAGCTGGTCGATCCACCGCTGCTGTTCTCTAAGCCCAAGCAGGAGCAGTCCGTGGACGGAACGAATGTAGAAGAAAAGGAGTAATCGCTTAGAAGAGGCGCCGGTTTTGTGAAAACCTTTTATCAACTGGTCAGAAGAGTTGCGTGAAATAGTGAAACCAAGAGCTTTTTTTTTTTGACAGTGAGAGGATTTGCCAGAGCGGGGAGCAGAATGAGCAGATTGACGAAGTACACTGCTGAGGGGAGCAGCGGGCGGATCTGGAGAGGTCTGCTGCGCCATGTGGTCACCTCCCTGGCCGGGATCGAACGCGTGCTGAAAGTGTCTTAGTGCTGCACTGTAGCCCACTGTGCCTCACCAGGGAGGGCCCACTGAGAACTCTCCTAGTACTGATGACAACTCCCAGCTAAAAGACAGCTAGCAAAGAGGGATAAGGCAACAAAAAAATGAATCAAGAATGGTTTCAACCTCCACCAACTCTTTTTAATATAATAGTTTATATTTACATCATTTTGTGCATTTTTCCATCTCGGTTGCAATCCCCTTGGATTGCATCAACCTGCACAGACTCTTAAAGTATTCAGTTACCTGCGCACCGTCTTAGGTGCTTTGGGGAAGGCAGAAAAAGTGCCAGGTCCTTGCCTTGGAGGAGTCTGGCAATCGAGTGGGAGCAACAGTGAATGATGCCCGTGGGCAGAGAAGTTGGTGCTGTGAGGGTGCAGGCAGAGCAAGGAAGCTGGTGCTTGGTCCAGGAACCACATGTAGGTCAGGCTCTGCTGAGCTTTTTATCTTACAGATAAGGAGGGGAGGGGCATGTGTCTGGTTAGTAAAGCTGGACTTTTATACTCCAAAACCTGCGTTCTTGGCCCTGTGCTGACTTGTTGGGCTCAGTGACAAGCCGGAGCTCTACAGCAGGCCAGTGTCTCCAGTTCATTCAGTTAAGGGCTTCTTTCTTTGGTACATCTGGCACCCTAATTCACTGCTGGGCACGGTGGGGTGTTAGCAGCATTAGGTATTGGTAACAACCTGCCAGCCCGAGTTAGGATGGCCAACTACCAAATGTCAGATGTTGACAAGCGGCGCCTGGCTTAAGGACATAATTTAAGAGAACTGGTCTGCTGTAATCTCTTAGCCCTTTCACAGTAAGTAACTCTTGAGGTGGCCCATGGCAAGCCAGTGGTGAATCCGAAGCACAGACCAGGAACCTCAAGGCCAAAAAGAAGGAATGGGCACCCTCCCTGGTGCACAGCGGGTTAAAGCAGGGCGCTGTGAGGGTACTATCAGCAGCCACTTCAGCACGAGTTCAATTCCCAGCCAGGGAGCTGACCCACGTGGCACAGCAGAACTCTCCTGACCCGCCCGCTGCTCCCCTCAGCAGTGTATTTCAGTCCATCGGCCTGTTCTGCTCCCCACTCTGTCTCTGGTGGATCCTCTCACCCCCCTGCACCTCTGGCCTGTACTCCAGTTCTGTATGCACAAATAAATAAATTTTTTTTAAAAAAGAAGAAATGGGCTGAGGTTGAACTGGCAGCTGAGGTATCACCAAGGGAGCAATGGATTAAGTGGTAATTCTGTTACGAAAACAGTGCAGTAACCCTTTTGGGATGCCATGCTGGCATCCTTGCCAGGCCACTACCCTCTGGTGGTAATCAAGGAACAGCCTCTAGGGAAGGTGATTGCATTTTTCTTTCTGTGGCATTTCAGGCACATAGTTTTACCAGGGTGTTGTTAAGAAATTCTCTTCATCACTGGTCCCAAACAGCCTTGGGATTGCTGAATTAGCCAAGTCCGAATCATCAGACTTGGGAATGTGGATGGTGGGCCCACGGAGCCCAAGGTCAAAGGAAAAGTTCCTTTCCATTAAGATTCTTTACCTTGGATCTACGGTCCATGAATGAAACCATTTTGCTTAGTGCAAAAGTGTGAGCAGATACAGAGGTGCTTTGTCCTTGAGAGGACTGTTTATATTCTCACAGCGAGAGTGACCTAAAGAACAATAAGTAACCAGTGCCTTAAGAGTGCAACGTGGTACGCCCCTGGTGACCGAGGGCTTGAGTCTCACCACTATCACCACTCTGGCCTGAGTTTGATCTCCAGCCAGGATGCTGACCCATATGGTGTTGCAGACCTCTCCTGTCTTGTCCACTGCTCCCCTCAGCAGTGTATTTCTACTCCCCACTCTAACTCTGGTAAATTCTGCCAGCCCCTGCACCTCTGGCCTATACCCTAGTTCTTTAAAAAAAAAAAAAGAGAGCAAGAGAGAGTTCAATATGGTGGCAAAAGGAAATGACTTGAGCATCAATCCCTGGTCTCTTTCTTCTTTTTAAAATTTATTTATTTATGCATACAGAACTAGGGTACAGGCCAGAGGTGCAGAAGAGGTGAGAGGATTCACCAGAGACAGAGCGGGAATCAGAACAGGCAGACTGACAGAGTACACTGATGAAGGGAGCTGCAGATGAGACAGGAGAGGCCTGCGGTGCCATGTGGGTCAGCTCGCCTCCCTGGCTGGGGATCGAACTTGCGCTGAAACAGCTGCATAGTGCTACGCTTTAACCCACTGTGCCACCAGGAAAGGACCAGCCTGTCTCTTTCTACCCAGGAAGCTAATTTTCTCCTCTGTGCCTTGATGTCCTCATCTCTACTATGGGGACAATTCATGGAGGTTGTAACAACAAAATGAGATGATTCTGATAGATAAATGTAAATAAAAGTTAGTACTGTGATAAGTATGTGTATAATATTCAAGAAATTAATGCTGTGCATATGAAGCTGAGGGATGCAGTGACAAGCTAATACATGTATTTTATATATAGCCATGAGTACCTAGAAGCCTCAAACACCCAGTCCAAGTTAAGATTTTTCCTTGCAATTCAGAAACTCAATTTTCATCTATCCCTAGCATTGAGCCCAAAAAAAGGCTGGGTCCTGGAGGGAAAGGGCTGCTTCAGGGGCAAGGGCCTTTGGGGAAGGGGAGGAGGAGCTTCATGCTGTACCTTAGAGAAGGTTGAGGCCAGCAGTGGCCTGAACGCCAGGACACTGGGTGAGGGCCCTGGCCTGGTTGCCCTGAGCAGATGCTACCAAACTTTGTTGCACAAGAAGGAGGTTCCGGGAAGGACAGTGCAGACCGGGAAGGATCTGGGGAAAAGTTCTGATTCTAAGTTCTTCTCAGCTGTGTCAGCCATCCCCAGAGGTACAGGAAAACACTTTCCCCCTCTGTCTACCAAGCCAGGTGTTGCCAAGAGAAAGTGAGGGAGCACTAGGCTAAGCCCCGCCCATGTGCTA